AAAAAAAAAAAAAAAACACATCATATAAGTATGTGCCTTTAGAGCCTCTTCATTTTGCGTCCTGCATTTGCAGAGTAACTTCAGCCGAGATGCATGCATCCTGTAGAATGGATCTACAGCTGACGGGTTCATGATGATAGCCTGAGCATAGTATGAGAATGATGTATCATCAGGGTATCCAAGTTTCTCAGAGAGTTTACCCATATAAAATGCATGAGACCAATCCTCCCTGTCAACAAAAATACAAAATTACCAAGTCACCGTAATGTTCCAACAAGGAATTTGTAGCATCAACTGAAAAAAAAAGAAGGATACTTGTGTTTTAAGGCTTTGTTGAAGTGGCTCATAGAATTCTGGCAAAACACCTTCCATGCTGCATCTTTTAGGGGCACGACAGACCTCTGATCATAAAATGGTACCACATTCTGAAGACCATCATAATAAACTAATGCCAAAAGCTCGTGTATCTCACCCTGAAATTGGACAAGATAACAAGACAACTGTCAAAGAATTAAAAAATAGTATGAAGCACCATCCACATAACAACTTGGCTTAAAGCAATGATAACTTCTTGCAGAGAAGATTAATCATTATCGATCAGAATGTCATATGATAATAGAAGTTGAAATTCATTTTAAGGACAGCCACATTTAAAAAAGCACAAAGTACAAAATGATGGATGGTCTCAATGAGAAGTGCAAGTTAACAGGGCCTCATCCACATGTAACATGAATGTATTGAAGTATTTAACAAAAACATTTTGATAGAATTGCCGAGAAATATATGAAAACCTGTTGAGTTGCTGTCTTTGCCAAAGCTAAAGTCATCAATAAGCATCGTCTGCTCCTTCTACGGCTTGATTCAACTCTGTGAGGTAGAGAAACACTTTTCCTCCATCCAGATACATTTACTTGTTTACTGCCATCATTAAGCAGCAAGTCCACCTCCTGCACACCAACAAGAAAAGAAGCATAAATTACATATATAGGTTGTACGGCTACTTTCCCCTTTCCTTTTTCCCTTGTAGTGGCATACGAATAAGAATGTCAAGATCTTACCTCATCATATATATTTGCAAGCCTCTGCCAACTTTCAAAACGGAGAGGATTATATATCAAATCATATTTGAAGAGATTTGCATTATTATCTACAAATTCTTCCCCTTCCTTAGTTAGAACGAAACCAGCCCATTTATCAGTGGCGCTAAGTTCTTCGGACTGTGCAAGAAGATAATACAAATTCTGATAAACTTCCAGGAATGGGTCCGAGCTGCAAACAAAGAAAAATTGTGTATACAGTCATATCCTAAGGATATAATCCATGCAAAACTTACACAAATGAGGTACCCAATTATACATTTCCAGTGACGACGAGTTTTGATGTTTGGGGGGTTCATCCTCTGAAAACACAATCTTCCTCATGGTACTCAAAAATCCTTCAGACCCAGCCTCCTCTGAGAGTTTATCTTCACATAATTCAGGATTATCTAAGAATTTTTCAATTGGATTTCCAGCTAAATCCCTGTCAGGCGGTTTAGGAAAGTGTTTGCGTATGGCTCTCAGCACCCTCCTAAGTTTAACCATCCCAGTTTTCTGAAAAGAAAAACATACATAAAAAATATTTCAAGAAGGCATCAACTGCGAATTCAGGGGAGGCAACACATAAAGAGAGGCTATATTGAAATTTTTAATCGAGCGCACGAATTGTTGAAAGCAAGCCAATGATGGCATAGTAAAGATCTACTTACTGATGAAGCTCTTGCATATGGAAGTATATACTGAAACACGTCTGCACACTGTTCTTTAGTCTGGTAATCTCCTTGGCTTGTGTTTTTATGTTTCACTAATTCCTCTTCAGTAGATGAATCTAATCTCAGATTCAAACCATACAGACAGTAAAAACATTGATCTAATGCATTATCGATGATGAGCTCAAGCTCCTCTTTTTCATCATCATTTAGCTCATTTCCACACGCTATATTTTGACTATTTTCTGTTTCTTCGTCACTGGACATGCTGTCAGGCACATAGCCAACATCACTGTCATACTTCACGTCTATTTGTTCCTTCTCTAAAACAGAAGAAAATTTTTCAGCACACGTACTTCGGGAAACATTTTTCTCTGCCGATTTGCTTTCATCCTTGTGAATTTTGCCCACTTCCGTATCAGACATAACCAAACGTGATTCTGTTTTAAGCTGAACATTTTTGGAAGTCTGTCGATCAAACTTGGCTTGTTCACCCTTATACAGAGAGTTAGTAGACTTCAGCTTCATGTCTAAGGCCAAAAGATGCTTAATTGCAAGTTTCAAGAATGTCCCATCTTGTTCTTCACAATTTGCCCGAGCACAACAGACCCCAAACTCGGCAAGCATATCATGAATTGCAACAAGCAACTCCGCCTGATAGGAACATCAGAAAAGAAAAGGTAGAATGCAAATCAGAGATGAAAAGAAGATAATAATAATAAATAACCTTAAAAATGCTTCACTGAATTCAGAAACACATCCTTACTAGAGATTTGATCGTGACATTAATGTCCAGGTGCTCTAGTTTGAAGAACGCAATAGCAGCCTCCACAAAGCAGCATTGCTCTGGTTGCTCAATTGACTCCAGAACACCAATCCCAGATGACTTTTTAGAGAAGCATGAATTAGCAACATTGCACATATAGGTTAGCAGTAAAGACTGGATATCACCAATGACCGCTAGGGGAACTTTTTTCTGCAATAAGATTTCCAAACATAGTAAGCAACCTGAAATAAACCAATGGAGTAAATATGCAAATGAGTTTGACTATATACCAATCTACAGAACAGATATCACAAGCGTAGCTTATATCTTGCACACGGAAAACCTGCCTTAATTACACTGGTAGAGAGGACATCGGACTAACTTATAGTATCCATCAATGGACACTTCAAAAGCAAATTCTAATTTGTGTAATTACATAATTGTTCAAGAACAAAATGTCCGTTCACGGTTATCAGAATAAAGTAGTTCATTAAAAGGTCAAGTCAAGAAACATTATCAGCTCAAACAAAATTTTCCAAGTAAAAATTGATAAAAGTTTAAATGAAGACATAAATTTCCAGAAGAAATAGCTAGCCATATATAACATGTTAATTATGCCTTTAAAACAGAAGTCGTCAGGAGAAACTTGCTTAAATGTATATAAGCATGTCACTACACTATTCTATTCTACAATATCAAATATAAAAGATGGAGAAATATCAGGCATTAATAAGTTCATAAGATTTATCTGGTTTCCGGGAATAAAACAACTGACGCTCTCTCACAGAATGTAAGGGACTATATCTCAAATATGGGCACGAGGTTGAAGAGGCTGACACACTAACACCATTTTTCTTATATAAGAGAAACTCAATATGACAGTTGATCTAGTAGCCAGACCTTGTGTCCTCTCTTGTGCACATGTCAATACTACCCTATGAAAAATAAAATATATCAGTTTCTGATCTGCTATAGTTGCCTCTATTTCCCCTTCCTATAGTTAATGCTAGACAAAGTAGCCAATTAGTTCAGTGGGCTACTTTTTCCTGTTTCAATGAAATGCCAAAATTTCACATATTTAGACAGACAAAACAACTGGTACTAGAAGCTTTCGAAATTGATTACTTACAGAATTCTCACTGGAGTTGATAATGCCCTTTATTTGTGATGCAGACCGAGAAATAGCCTTCACCTCTTCAGCAACTAAATGATTATAATGCTTCCAGAGGCTTTCTTTTGGCTGACTTTCCGAAGAAGTATTTAAACCTGGTGTGTTTTGAGGAGACTTGCTCTCTAAAACAGCTCCAGCTAAAAGTAAACTGAGTTTCCTTCTATGACAATTCAAGTAGATGTCAATATCCATTGGTTCAGCCACTTCACACGATCTGATCAGAACATCTAATGCAGATAACTCAACTGAATTGTTTCCTTTATCTTCACGACCCCAATCACATAACACTTCGACATGAACATCCTTTGCCGATAATAAACAAGGAGCAAGCATCTTAATACATTCTGCATGCATGCTTTTCTCAAGCATTCCACTGATAGAGTTCTTCAACAAGTAATCAATGTCAATTAGATTTAATGCATGAAGGACCCTATCAACAGTCAGTTCTTTAGTTATTTTACAGTGTGGCAAGCAAATAGAACCACGTGGGCTGTTCACCTTATCCTTGCCTGTGAAGAGGGCCAACACGATAGAAAGTTCTTTTTGAGCTTTCACTTTATCACCTTCCAAAAGAGACAGCCGTGCACTTAACCAGAAAAATCGTATCCAGAACCAGTTCTTGTTATTTAAATAGGACGAGTTGTCTTGTTGGTCATTCTCCGAGACATCCCTCACTGAATAGTCAATCTTCCCGTTCACTCCAGTGATATGAAATGGATATTCCAGAGCTACAGATTCCACAATCTTACAAAGATGATAGGATGCTTCTGATATGAAGTTGCTCGTCAATGTTTCAGAAGGCTGTAACCCATTATCATAATACAGCTCCGCAAGAAAAAGACTACACTCAGGACTTCGTTCCAATCCCCAGTGCCTTGTAACCTTCTCTAAGTCCAAAACTTTTGTTATACTATACTGATACGAAATGCGTCTATTTGCAATTTTCTCTAAGAGCAAGTGACCCATGTGGTAAGCACCAAAATTATTGGAAGTATTCTGGACAAATTCAATGACATCAGGAGATTCAGAGTCCACTGAATTACTCAATACTTCAGCACTATGAAAAGAAGGATCAGAATTGCTGGGGCAATTTGCAGGTCGGGTTCCCTCCATTAAATAAGGCACCAGAAATTGTTTCACAACTTTAGCAAGATCCTTACTGGTGGAAAAATCAGAATCGTCTTTACCTGGTTTGCGGCTCCTGAGCCTTTCGAGACGACTGCTTCGTCTCTCTTGAGGTTGCTCATCAAATAAGGTTCCTTCCTTCTCATTTACAGGTTCGGAATTACTGAAAGGCCTTGCTGCACCTTCTGGCAGGACAAATCCTTTATTTTCAATAGAACCAATTACAGCAGATGAAGGCAACTGTATGGTTAGTCTAACATCCCCAGATGTAGGTGATGAATTCAAAATGTCCACTAATTCACCAACAAGAGCTATCCAGGAGGCTTCTGAAAGATGAATCTCAATGTTTTGCTTCATCCTTTTAGATGCTGTGGTCATTTCCAAGTCCTTATCAGTAGCTTTTCTCTTTTCTGGAAATTTTAGGCGTATATGTTTTGGTTCTAGTTTATCTATGCCCCTTGGAGTGAAAGGAATTGGTTCCGAGTCCTCAATAGTATTCTTGACATGCAATGCCCGAGAATGAGATGGCCAGTGCCTTAATATAAGTTTTGCAACAGAAAGACAGGCGACCTCATCACCAATTGCAATAAGGACTTCCAAGAGTTTCTCCATGCAATTCCCTGCATATTCCAAATAAACCGAACGGTTCGGTTCTGCAATAATTAATTTTATAAACAAGGTCAAAATAAAACCTAAAATTAGAAAAGTAGCCCATACTGAATAATTCAGTCCCCGCGTGAAAGGGACAAAACGGTGATCGGCGGGATTTTAACGAGAAGTGGGGTTTCATGGAGAAAGATTAATAAATAGCTTACAGTTACTAGGGCTGCAAATTAGGCCTTGCTCAAAAGCCCAACGGGAGATGCTTAATGAACCCATGGAACAAGATAGGGTTCCTAATTGGTTCCAGACAACAGAATCTCTGTCATCAATCTCTACAGCTTGAAGATAGCAACATAAAGCGTTGTCATAACAGGAACGACCTTGCTGGAGAAAAACAGTTGCTAGGTTTTTTAGCGCCAAAAATCTGCAGGAAGCTATAAAAGTTCAGTTAAAGTAATTACTCAGCTAGCACGAAGGCTCCAATATGACGCTTGAAGAGCTTATCCTATAGACAATATAACTATGTACTACGATGCACACAGAATTACAGCACGCGTGGAAAATTATGAAGTACAATGAAGAGGTTAAAAGAAATGACTGTTGATCAAAACCTGAGCTGTAAAATATGACCATCACTTGCACTATTTTCCACCTGCAAACCAAAAAGAAAATTTGCAGGTTATCAAAACCACAAACCTATAAAGATACAAATCGAAAGGAAAGTAAGATAACCTAAAAGAACAAGAAACCTGAGCATTTGACACTAATGGATCTTTTAACACCAACTCTAATAGTTCACGAGCTTTTTTGTAGTCTTTGGATTGTAAACTCAAGAGTCCGTCATGATACAACTGCGATAGATGAAACTCCTAAACAAAAGACATCAAACTTTTGAGGTTATGCATTTTTCTTTAAGAATTTAGTTTAGTAAAATGAGAAAAAAAAAAAAAAGCAAAAAAAAAAAGTGAGGACCGTGAGTTCAGGAGATACCAATTAGTTAGCCAGAAAAAAATACCAATCAAACAACAATAATCCATGTTACTGTACAAGCATCTGTTATACCAATTAATTCCTCAAAATTGACAACAATATCTGTGAAGAGATAATGGCTACACAGCTTCATAATCACAATGGAGCGCCAAATCAGTGGCTCTTATCAGAGGTTGTAAACTTAACTACGTTATCAGGGAAACTGTTTTAAGGATGTCTTTTTGTGATACATGATTGGAATAATCTTGTCCTCCATAATCATCAAACCATGTTCTTGTTTGTTCAACTTAAGCATTGGTTAAGCTAATTCATCAAAGTTTGAATGTGATTAGGAATCCGTATCAGAAGGAAGGAACCATTATAGCCAGGATGGAGATGGAGACTCCGCAGAATAGATGTATAGTTACAACCACGGAAGAAAAACTAAGAGCACTCAAAAATAAACAAGAGCTTTCAGGATTGAGCTACTATATATCTTCATTTTCCGCTTGACTGGACCTCGTTCGGGTTGAGTCATAAAACAAACATAAGAAATCATATATATTACAAGTATGATGAGAACTAATCAAGGTGTTACCTGCCGAGAATCACTCCATCCGGGAGGTCATCATTCAAACTTACATATATACTGGTTCAATAAATAATAGATTCAAAAGATGATAATGTGCACTCCCAAACAGTAAGCTTAAAGACAAGATTAACCAGAGTTCAATTATTAATACCTTGAGCCGTAAATTAAATAAAAGGACAGCCATGGCCAAATTTATGGCACGATCACAGTAAGTATAACACGAAACATACGAACTAATATAGACTGGTTAGAAAACAGCTCTTGCCTGAGCTTCTTTGGTTGGGGCTAACGGCTGCCACTGATTCCGAGATTCTGTATCATTAATAGCTGCAATGGAAAACTGAAACTCGCAAAATTTTTGACAAGGTTAAGCCTCTGTAGATCGCAAAATCAGCTAAGATTTGAAATTTTCGTGTGGCACGAAGTGCAAAATTCTGCAAAAATTGTACAACTCACCATAATGTATGATTTCGTTGGAGAAAATAACAAATACTTTCTTCTTCGCACTTGTGGGATTTAGGCGGGTTTTTTTGTGGGAGGTTTGGTGCTAAAATTCCAGTTTCTATTACATCCTTTTATTTTTATGGAAACCTGAATTTCACCCTTATCATGGTATTTTTATTTGAAGTCGGTTTTTCTACAATCGCTCGACAACATAAGGACGGAAAGTATATTTTTTAAAATTCCGGGTCGGATGGGATATAATTCACCCGATATAAAATTGCAGAATGCACGATTCGCGATTTAGAATTCGATGGGGCAAAAAATCGAAGTCAGACTTAGATAAAATCATGACCTTTTCGAAAATTGCAATTTTATGATTCACTTTTAAACTTGGCAAAAATATGCACCACGTTCATTATTGTTTGCAAATTTATGATTAGGTCCCAATTTTGGGCTTTTTTAATCGACGTGGCTTTTTTTTCAGACGTGTCAATTGTTGTTTCTAATCCATATTCCACGTTGCACTTGCGTATATAATACCGAGAATCTCATCTTCAATCGACGACCTATCCGAAAAATCCCCAAATTTCCTCAAATCCTAAATTTCGAACGGAAAGCATGTCTTCATCGACTTCTCAAAGCTCTGGCCGATATGTTTCGCCTCATTCAAGTCAAAAAACTTGTGAGCATGGGGTGGACGTGTTTACGTCAATGACTCAATAAAATCCGGCGAGGAGGTTCAGTCGGTGTAGCCGAAGGAAGGTGAGCCATTTTACCGAGGTCATTTTACTATGATTTTCATGTTGGTGGTCATTTTGAGTGTCTTGCATTTTTATTCTGAGGGCCCTGAGAACTGCGTCATTTTGAATGGATCGATCCAAGTCTTCCTCCATTTCAGAAAGGTTGCTTTGTGAACTTAATGGGTCAGAAAAAGAATTTGGAAGAACAATTAAGGTGCAAAGAGGTTATGGAAAATCTGATGACAGAAAGGATGACAATTAAGGTATCAGAGATTGAGAAGGTGCAAGATCTCTATGAGCAAACTCAATATTTGTTGGAGGTTCAAACCTTGAAGTGTGAAGATATGGAGAAAAAGCTGAAGATTGCAATGGACCAAGTGAGCAAGCTCCAAAGAATGTTTGCAATGGCAGCAATTTGGCTTATAATACTCCTATTAATAATACTGATATTGGTTTAGTCAAAAAGAGACAATCGTTCTAATGGATACACTGAGTTGGGACGATTGAACTTTGTAGGGTAGTTGATCGATATGTAGGATGTGTGTTTTTTGATGTGTTGGTGATGAGTAGGAGATGTGTTTGTTGTAGTGTATTGGTTTGATGAAGGATTGTTATGAACTGAATGGATCAATGTGATTGTTATGTTTTGAGGCTTTTGGTAATGAAATGAATTGATGATTGTGGATCAGTTTGATTTTATCAGTGTAATTTTATCACTGTGGTGTACTTTTTTTTTCATCTGTTTTGTTTTCTAATGTGTTGTGTTATGAAATGATTGGATCATTTGGATAATTTGTTGGTGATGAGTTGTTGTTTTGTTTTCTGATGTGTCGGTGAAGAACTGTTGTTTTGTTCTTGTATGTTGTGTTCTGTAGGGTAGTTGATCCAACATGAGAGTTGTTTTGGGTTTTTATAGAAGTAGATAACATATTTTCAGCCCTAAACCATAACCATAAACATAGAAGTAGAAAAACATAACAAAATCTTTTTTGAGTAGAAAAACACAACACATAACCATAACCAAAACATAACCAGTAGAAAACATATTGTCAAATACATACCATCATCATAACCAAAACATAACCATAACACTTAACATAACCATAACACCAAAACATTACCATAACAACTGATCACCAAAAGTATCCATGGCCCTAAACCATCATAAACATAGCCCTAAACCATCATAAACATAACAAAACAACTGATTACCATATATTTAGCCCCTCTGTTCACTAATTTGTCCAATTCATCATAGAAGTAGCAAAACAAAGTGAATGCCCATCATAAAAGTAGCAAAACAAAGTAGCAAAACATCTGAACATTGAAATCAAAGTAGCAGTGATAGTGACACTATGAGGCTTCTGCCACACTTTCTTGAGTCCCCATATTTTCAGCACCTTGGTTGTTATCTCCAGTTCTCTTGCCTTTCTTTTTGCTACACAAGGTTGATTTTCTTGAGGGTATAAAGTGAATACCCTTTCCAGATGACATCTGAACATTGAAATCACAAGATGTTGAAATTGAATATCCTCTTGTAAGTGGAAAATTCGAAGACTTATACCATGTTTAAACTAACTTACTCGCATGTATATATTTCTACTTTCTTCAGACTGCAAAATCCCCAAACCCTTCATAGCCTGTAAAAATTCACAAAATATAACTACATGCTTTGTATAGGATAAAACACTAAACACAAAGGTTAGCAACTCACCATGGATCGTTCCTTATGAATGATTGTATCACTAGATTGCTTCTTCCTGAATCTTGTTGAAGTCTTTCTACTGATCCTACTTGGTTCACACACAGTGCTACTGGACACACCTCCAACTGGTTACATGACAAGTGCTGCTGGTACCTTCCTTGGGCTCCTCCTCTTGTTCTAATTTGAAGTAACAAAAGGTAAGAAAAATGTTAAAAAAAAAACAAAGAGTAAACTAATGACAGATACTAACCTTTGGTTATTTTGGTGCAAGGTCTTTCAGACAAGTTTTCTTATTGTGTCCCTTCTTTTGACACCTCTGGCATGTCATCTGTAGGCCAAACTTTTTAATCTTTGAATCAGTCTTTTTTTCTTCCTCTGGTGCTCTTCTCTTCTTCTTCTTAGGCCTGCCTGGCATTTTCTTAAAAGGGGGTAGTTTCACTGGATAGCCATCAGCAACATGCCACATATTTTATCCATTCAATGGCTCAAGGGAGCAGTTGTACATATTCATGTACCTCTCAAGGCTGAAGTATCCATCCACAAAGTCAGTTGGGTCTTTATGCAAGAAGTGAATGGCTGAGCAAGCATGAATACATGGAATCCCACAGAGGTCCCATATTCTAAAAGTGCAGGTGTTGGTCTTCAGGTCTACCACATACTGCTTATCATCAATACTCACTTGAAATCTATCTCCAACTGCTGGTTGGGTAGTGCACAACCTTGACATGAACTTGTTATGTTCTAGCTTTTCTCTAATCCTAGGATATATGGAGTCAGTTATTCCATTAGCTTGTAAAAGATTTCCATGTTGCCTTGTCATTAATTTATTCCTAATACCCTCAAGCATATCTATGATGTGTCTGCTTCTGAACTTCACTATGTAGCCATTAAAAGTCTCACTTACATTGTTTTCAATCATATCACATTTTGGCATGGTAATATGAATGCTTTGCAGAATCTTCTAGGGTCTCTTGAGATAAAATCCTCATATGCATCAGGATCTTCAATTTTCAGGTTCTCAGGTGCCAAATTATATGGTGCCATATTAGAACTCAACACTATTTTCCAAAAAATGGACTTAAGTGCTTGGCCCTTGAACTATTTTTTCCAATTCATGTAGACATGGCTTGCACAATTTCTGTGCTCAGCATATAGAGTTAGCACTTCCACAGCATTCATCAGTCCCTGCCAATGTAAGTTCACATCAGTAATTGATATTTTAAAGCTAAATATTGGGTAAAGTATAGATAACATTGAAGATTAATCGATCTTTTGTTGATCACTCACAAGTGTATATCTCAGACCATCAGTAATTCCCATATCATTAATAAGATACTAACAAACCATGTCCAGCATTCTTCATTCTCTGACACAACTACAGCCCAAGCAACTGGGTACATTTGGTTGTTCCCATCTTTGGCTGTTGCACATTACATAGCTCTCCCCAAGAATGTCTTAAGAAAACAACCATCAAGACCCAAGACAGGCCTACAACCATGAATGAACCCTTTCTTGAGTGCACTGAAGCCAATGTAAAGTCTCTTAGACTGTGTGTCCTCACCAACAAGAAACTCAAGTCTACCCTCCTTGTCCACTCTCATTAGTTCTAGTATATACCTTCTGACAAAAGCATAATGTTCCACAATTGTTCCTCTTAGCATCTCTAGGGCTTTCCACTTACCTCTGTACAACTTCCACTTTGATGAGTGATAGGACAAAGATGTCACTCGGGCTCCCTCGACTCGGATGACCACCGTACCTGCAAGAACCCAAAATCGGGGACCCCGAGAGGGGTGCCCGACTTTGGGCCTCCGATGCTTAAGTCAGTGCTCAGATCAAGAGAGAGAGTGTGTAGTATGGAATGAATATAGAGAATCCATCAAATTAGTACCTTAGCCCCCTTTTTATAAGGGGAGTGCACCTTATAGTCCAAATTGAGCTTGGCCTAGGTTGTGCTTAGCCCATATTATCATATCAAGTGTCTTAGCCTATGTATAGGCGTATTCTTTAATATATATCCATAAAAACCGATCGGGTATGACATGCTATATCAGATACTACCGGTCGAGACGACAGTACTAGCCGTGGCTATATCATCTAGTCCCCCCCACTCTGGTCGAGTGAGCATAACTCGATCCAAGAGTGAAAAATAGAGCAACTCGCCACTGGAGTCAAACACTAAAAACTGAATGGTTATAGAGGTCGAAAGTTAAGTGACCTGGCACTGGGGTCAAGCATCGGAAGTCGGATGACCAATAAGATAAAAAATCGAGTGACCCGCCTCTGCTAGGGTCGAGGATCGAAAGCCGGATGATCATTGATTGAAATCCAAGTGACCCACCCCTAGAGTCGAAACCCAAAACTGCATTTGAGATCGAGAACCGAAATTAGGGTCGAATGCCAAAAGATTTGTCTCTGAGATCGAGCACCTAAAACTGTGTCTGAGATTGGGTACTGAATAATTCGATGCTAACTCCAGGTCGATAACCAAAATTGAAGTCGAAAATCCTAATCCAAAACTTTTTCTGAAATCAAACTCGAAAGACCTGCCTCTGAGGTCGAAAATTGAA